TGTTGTAAATACTTTCTCCAACTGGTATCTGTCAATTGCCTTTTCTTGAATTATGTTATGGTCTAATGTACACACATTAATACACAGAGATTTCAGTGTGCAGTTCAATGTGCTGTGACAAATGGATACATTCACGTAACTACACTTCCAGCCAAGCTACGGATCATTTCCATCGCCCCAGAAAGTTCCTTCATCCTCCTTGCGGTCAACCCCCACCTCCCCAGAGGCATCCTCTGCTGTATTATCCCCGATTTCTACCACCCTAGTCTCCTCTTGGAACTCACAAAACAGAATCAAACAGTAGCTTTGTGTGGCTGGCTTCTTTTTCTCAACATGGTAGAGGCCACTTTTGGGCAACAGCTTGAGCAATGGAAACTTGAGCAAGGCAGTGACCACAGTGACCACCGAGCTGAACGCAAACAGGCTCATCAAGCGACCCACCTCAAAATGGCCACAGGCCCTAAGTGGCCAATGAGCTACTCACGACTGGGCACGGTTACCAAAAAAGGGAAAACTTCCTCTGTCCCCGTACTCCCTCACTATAACTAACTACAGCCCCCCACCACCACATCCTCGAAGATGCGAGAGACAGCATGTCTCCTTCGCTGTCCTGCCCACTGCTCCCTTGCGCCGTATTCGATAAACTTCTATCTCCTTAGTTCTGCCTTGGGTGAATTCTTTCACCGCCTGCACCACCGGCCCCCACCCAATCGGGACACCCCACAAACATGTTTAATATATCATATGCTGTGGCATGTATCAAGTTTGTTCCTTTTTATGGCTATCGATTTGTTCATGGTATTATTGGCCATAAAAAGAAGTTTTTAAAGATTTTATGTGCCTACTTCCCTATTTATTTATTTATTTATTTATTTATTTATTTATTTATTTAGAGAGAGAGTGAGAGAGAGAGAGTGAGAGAGAGAGACATGGTGACAGTGTGAGCAGGGGAGGAACAGAGACAGAGGGAGAGAGGATCCCAAGCAGGCTCCGTGCTGCCAGCACAGAAGCGGAGTGTGACTCGAACGCCCAAAACTGTTGAGGTCATGACCTGAGCCGAAACCAGGTCAGAGGTTGAACCGACTGAGCCACCCAGGCACCCCTATATCCCTATTTCTACAGCTTCAGAGTTTCTTATCTCGATTTAAAAAATCTTTCTAACTCTTGGGTTATATACAGTCATCTATGTATTATGCTAAGGTCCTTATTGGGTGTTTTACATATTTAAGCCTTTCATTCATTTGGAAATTGTTATGCAACATGATGAGAACAGGGATCCAACTTTACTCTTTCTCAGATACTCGGTTTTGCCAGCACCATTTATTAAATGAATCCTCTTTTCCCACTACGCTAAAAATTACCTAGTGGTGGATCTTTATCCAGACAATTGACCCTCACACAGGTAAAGTACTCCTAACTGACAATACTTCCCTCTTGCCCAGAAGGTTCAAAGATCTGTATCTTCTGAAAAACAGACATATCACTCTCCTGCTCTTAAAAGTCTTCAACGGCCCTGCACTGCCCTCAGAACAAAGGTGGCCCCTGCCAACCTCGCCAGCATCGCCTGCCACCACCCTCCCCTCACTCCCGCACTCCCCTCGCCCAGCCTTCCCCTGGCTCCTCAAGCTCTCACCCTCCTGCCTGCTCTCCACAGAAGGCTTCATCTGCTTGGGACACTTCCCTGCTCTTCTCCCACCTGCCCCAGCCTGGCTGGCTCCCACTCTTCCTCAAGTCAGCTTAAACATCATCTCTTCACCAAGTCTTCCCCAGCCCGCCAAGCGGGTAGCCCCCATGTGGGGTCCTCTCAAAGGTCTTCAACGGTTCTGTCTCACTGCACTGGGCACGCTTAGAGTAAGTGGCTATTAGCGTCACGTCCTCTTCCCCACTATACTGTGAGCTCTACAAGGACGAGGGCCATTGCTGTTTTGTTCACCACTAACTCCCGCATACCTCATTAACTGACTCAAGAAATACCAATTGCAAAGAAATCAGTAAGAAAGATGAACACAACAGAAGCATCACAGAACAGCAACAGGAAAGCCACAGAAGAAATATAAAAAGGCAAATAAAACATTAAGATGGTCAATGCACTGGGGCGCCTGAGTGGCTCAGTCAGTGAAGCGTCCGACTTCAGCTCAGGTCATAATCTCACGGTTCATGAGGTCGAGCCTGGCATAGGGCTCTGTGCTGACAGCTCAGGGCCTGGAGCCTGTTTCGGATTCTGTGTCTCCCTCGCTCTCTGCCCTTCCCCCGCTCATGCTCCATCTCTCTCTCAAAAATAAATAAACATCAAAAAAAATTTTAAAGAAAAAAAAAGATGGTCAATGCACTAATGATTTAAGAAATAAAAATTAAAACTTAAGCTACTGTCTTCCCATGAGATTGTCAAAAAAGGAAAAAAACAGGACATTGGTATAACCTTTTGGAAGGCAATGCAGTAATATCTTTGGCCAAACAATTCCATGACAAGGGATTTATTCTACAAGAACACTCATACAAACGAGCAAACATATGTACACAACTTTCTCTCCAGCACTGTTTCTAACAGGAAAAAATACCAAACAACCCAAATGGCCACAACTGGGTTTTAAGTAAATTATCATTTAGCCCTATAATACTGTAGTGACATGAAACTGTATCCAAAATACATTAAGTCCAATAAAACAAACTGCATTCATGTACAAATAGTAATGTACTTACTTCTATTAGTAAATCTATTAGTAAATCTTCTATTAGTAAATCTCTCACAATTAAAAGGTTAAAAATCTAATTATAAATGGTTAAAGAGGCATAAATGTATTCTGAAAACTCTACAAGAAATGTAACAGTGGCATCTCTGAGAATTGCCATTTCTTTTAGAATTTACTCATGTTCATAATGATTATTTTAACTAGGGGGATATATTAATTTTATAATGGGAAAGTATGTTGCTTTTTAAATGTCATCTAAACTGAAACCAGATTTGCTAGAAACAATGTCAAAGTTCTCAGTTTATAAAAGTGTATCCATAAATTTTACATCTCCAAAACTGATGGCGAGGAAAAATAATGTTCAAGTTGGTAAAATTACTGTTCTACTGTCTCTATAAACATACAGTAAACAACTAAATTTATAAGGGGGCAAACCTAAAATAGTAGATCAAGACTCTGTTCACTCATTAGCCAAATGCTCAAGAATATATTTACTTGACTGAGAGGTCTTAACTTTATGTATTTCCAGTAATATACAGTGGATAAAATATAAACATTTTTAATGCAGTCACCTTCATGTTCCTGATTGTTTGATAATTCAGGTTTTTGAGTACATGTTCCCCTTAAGTATCTCATTCTACAACCAAAGCTAGTACTTAAAAATATTTTTCTAATGGAATGAAGTTTAAGCACACTCTCTCTTCTGAAAAGAAATTCTACTCTGCAACTGACAGGGTCTTCTGTGCTTCTCAAAAAATGGGATATTAAGAGTTAATATTATTTAACATTTTTTGTACCGGGCACTGACTTGCACCACTTGGTGCCCTCTGTCTCCAAAGACCAAGACAGGCTGCACAAACAGCTCCGAAGAGAATCGACATTTCAACTAGGGATTGTGAGAGAAGTTGAGTTTTGACTCAAGTTTTTTCTCCTTTCTATGCTGCTCTATCTGGGCTGAAGGAATGAGTTACACCTATTTCAATAGGTAATAAAATACACCCCACAGTCACTCACAACAGTCTGTATGTGACATTTAAATTGCAATTTTTTTGGAAAGTAATCACACTCTAACACCAAGAACTTTAAAATTACCCTGGTAATTCCAATTCTAGAAACTGAACATAAATAATCTAAGATATGTCCAGAACTTCACTATTATCCCCATAGCACTTTCCTGTAATGGGAAAAAAATGACACATCTTGTAACATGGGTTTAAATACTTTGTAGTATTTCATGGCTGCATGAAAAATGACTATACACAAAAAAAGAAGTACGCTGAAGAACGGTCCATTTCGCTCCACCCCACTAAAATTAAGCACACTGAAAGCAAGGACTTTGTTTTACTGACTGCTTTGTTCCTACACTTAGAATGATGCCTGGTGCATAGCAGCCACTCAAAACCTTATAAAACTAACGAATTTGAGTAATGCGAGCGTATACAGAAAAAATTTTAGCTAGAAACACATACAGCAGAATCACATAACATGTCCAGCTACTTTACTGGAATTCAGCTGTCCAGACTAAGAAAAACAAAAGAAGGAAATAACGTAAATCATGCACCCTAGTCTGCTTTGAAGTGAGAATCCAGGGGGAAGCTGAGTCGGCTGGCTGCCCTCCCTGCCCCCTCGGTAGATCTCAAATCCCTGGGGCTGTCACACAAGCCATGCTAGAGAAGAGTGGTTTTAGTATTTAAAACCCAATATGCCCCTAAACATAAAAGCCAACTGCTTACCCTGGTGCCCCACCACCCCCCCCCCCAAAATAGTAATTTTCTCCAAATTGGGGCTTTTCAAAAGGATTTCCAAGGGTAATTTTGTCTGTATAGAAATGTCGCCTTAGATGATAACTTGAGAACCCAGCCTTCCCACCTCCAAATAAAGTGTAACTCTACTGTGATGATCAGATACATCAGGGTGAGGAGTATGCAGTTTCCTTGCTTTTATTTATTTTCTAATACCTCTCCAATTAGCAAATGTTGCTTTTGCAATAAGAAAAAAGCTCTAATTTTTTAAGAACCCACAACAGTCCTTTCTACATTTATCACAGAAATGCCAGATCAGGTATCAATATTCCTCTACCTGACCTAAAACACTACTCCTATAGTACAACCATACTCATGCAGCACATTTTAACCTATGGCTCTCTGCTACTTTGAACAATTTATTAACAAACATATAACTCAAACTATATACCTTGCTAACAAGAATAAGGCAGTTTTCTATTTCTATTATGATTCATTTACATTTGTATGAAACAGAAAAGTTCTTTATTGACATGCAAATTTTAAAATAATAATAATAATAAGGTACCTGAACATCATAGAGGGCTACAATATTTTCGTGCTGAAGTTCCTGTTAAGGAAATTGAGAATTTAAAATATTCGTTCTAACACATTTCAATATGCAAATAGATATTAAGTATACACACACATACACATACATACATACAATTTCTATATACCACACTTCTGATGACTGGATTAGAACAATTCAATTTACGAAAAAATAAGACGAAATGTGCCTGATCAAACTTTACTTGGGCCCTAAATGTTTCTTCACCACGATCATTTGTTAGACTCTTAACACAGGGAGTACTCTTGTCTACAAAATAAATATCACAGGTAGTATGACCGCAGACTTTCTGGGAGTCTTTTAAATTCAGTATACAACTCTAACAGCACTAAAGGCCTAAATTCCAAAATGCTTTTAAAGAGCAGATAATTTGTCTGAAAGAAAACGAAGCATAATTCTTAGCTCAAAGAGCTAAGAGGGTAGTAGTTTTGATGAAAGCTAGTGTTAGGTGAGGGGTCTATGTTCTTATCAGCTTGGGGAACACTGAGTTACATACATCTAAACTAGTTTCTTCATTGAGCAATTTTTCAGACTTTCTTTACTGAGCAAAGTGCTTTGTGAGTGACTCTCCAAGAAGTATGTAGTGGACAGGATTTTCCACACTCATTTGACTAGGAGACCATTTTTTTCCTCAAAGCATCTCATTGCGATAACACTGCTTGTGAGTGATCTAAAAAGGCCACTTGCAAGGTAGGTAATTCTTTTCAATTTACAAGGAAAAAAGATTCCAACTGTCCCCAGTCCCCTTCTCCCCCAAACACTTAAATGTAACACGAAAGGGATCAACAGAAGAGCTAAATGATGGATAAGAAGGGCCTGCCTCTTCTCAAACAGTAACACAGTAACTAAGGAAAAGAAATTAGGAGAAGCTAAAATCAGCCTTCCCAGAACCCGTTCTAAGCACTGGCCAAGAACACAAACATCTATTCTTAAAAACAGTTTCCAAGTACTCAAACGTTTCAAAAAATGACAGCAACAGGTGAAAATCCTCAAATTTGGCTCCAACCACCAAAATGACAAAGGATGTCATCAAGCATTAATTTAAAATAGGTTTTAACCTACTATGAAATATCACATAAAGAAGCATACCTTCAAGATTTTAATTTCCTTCCCAAGCAGAATTTGTGATTTTGACAAGTTCTTTTTATTAATACTTTTAATAGCCACCTCCCAGTCAGTTTTCTGAAAAGGAAAAATAGTGTTACTCCTGGAAATTATTTCACAGAAGTAAATCTATAAGCACAAAGATGTTTTTAGCCCACTCATATACAGACAATGGAAAGGGTAAATGGAAAGGACCCTGAATCTCCAGCAACAGGAAAATGATTTCATAACTTACAAACTAGTACCTTATAAGACAGCCACTAAAAATAATAGATAGGAGGACCACAAGTGAAACAAAGCACACAGTTTACAACCACTTTAAAGTTATGGAGAAATGCGGATAATAAACTGGAAGGTGGCATTTGAAAGCTTGGCAGGATTCAGCTTCCTGCTTAAATTATTTTTTGAGTTTTAAGCTTTTCTCTTAAGAAAGGAACGCAGTTTTTACTACTCTATCTGGTAAGTAACAAAATCAGCCCACTTAAACATGCCTCTTGCCAACAGTCAGAACTACCAAGCCCCTTTGATTATTTCCACTCTCTAGGTGCTCTTCCAAATTCTTTAGATTCTAAAACCTCGTGTGACCCTATTTACGAAACAGCAAAAGCTTTAAAAAAAAAATTTTTTTTTTTTTTT